AGGGAACCGATTACAAGGATCTACATATAACCTCCTCCCTGGGGGATGGACAACAGAAAAGTGGGTGAAGGGAGACATTGGACAGTGTAAGATATGACAAAATAATAATTTGTAAATTATTAAGGGTTCATGAAGGAACGGGGAGCAGGGAGGGAGGGGGCTTAAGTGGAGAGCAAATGTTTTGAGAGTGATGAGGGCAATGAATGCACAAATGTGCTTTACACAATTGATGTATGTATGGATTGTGATAAGAGTTGTATCTGCCCCTAATAAAATGACTAAAAAAAAAGAAGAAGATGTTCTCAGATTGACTGGGGGGATGATGGTAAAACTCTTCTTGATGGAACTATGGAATCAAATTATATGGGGATGATGTGCCAATCAACCTGTTTAAGTAAGTAACTGAATCCAATAATTCACGAGTCCACATCAATCTAAGTAGGTAAATGATCAATTTCTGAATTTCATAGGGAACTCGATATATACATGGTTTCCCAGCAACCCCTCCCAACATGTTTTTTAATTACTAAGGAGAAACTACCATGCGTACAGGGAGAAGACTGGCAGCACCCCTGGAATCCAGTGGCAAAGGTGAACTTCACCAGCAATGAGACATTGAAATCCTGTGCTCCCCAAGATGAGGCCATGTGAAGAACAGGTATCACCTCCTCGATGTTCTTGCCAAAGATGCATAACTTGAATCTCATGTAAGAAAACATTAGACCGTCCCAAGTAGAGGACCGTCTAGGAAACAGGGACAGGTAGCTTGAGTCCTTGCGTCAACTCTGACTCATGGAGTCCTCATGACAAGAGACAGAAACCGGGTCCAGTCCGAGGTCATCGTCATGACCCCGGCAGTGGTCCATCCATCGTTCTGGCTCTGGGCCAGGGCATCTCCCTGCAGCAGCTCTTCCTCACAGCCCCTGGGCCTCTCCTTCCCTATCCCTCCGGTGACTGCTCCCTCCTGGTGGCCTGTCCAAACCAATCAAGTCAGACAATGTCCTGTGGTAATTGTTCAGTGGCTGACATTAGATGTAAGCCTAGAAAATAAAATTATGGAATCTTGAAAAACAAAAAAACACTGGCCTTTAGTCTCAAAAACGTGAAGGTCATAAAAGTGAAGGAACAACTGGGTAGGTTTCCAGTGGGGACTAAGAAGACACGCTAACAGAGCTGGGCTGCTCTGCTGTACAGGACGCATGTGGGGGGCAGGGGGCAGTTCTGAGGAACACAGGCTAGTCAAGGGTCAATGCCAACTTCCTAAAAATAAAATTTTTAAAAAATAAAATGTCAACTTCCTGGTTTTGATGATGGCATCGTGGCTGTGGGGGCCATAGCCTGGTGTGTCGAGAATACATATTAAAGTATTAAGCACTCACTGGGGATGGGGACAGCACTGATCACGTTCTCTCAAGTGATTCGGGAAAACATTAAATTCTTGCACTGTACTGGCTTTGTTTGTGTAAACTTGAAAAAGAGAATTCAACCTGAAGCGAGGGGAGTAAAAGATGATCTATCCTCCAAAAATAGCTTTAAAAGGTTGAGGGAAGGTGCATCTTGTGCGATTCCTCTTTAAGTCTCTCCCAGGACCTCAGCCAACTCTTTTCTTTTCACTTGCATCCTGTTTCCAGCATGGAAAGGAAAGCGTGGTAATACTGCCCCCTGCTGGTCGTGGAGCTAACATCTTCAAATAGTGGGGGGAAATCAAACAGTCCTGAGGTTCGTTCAGTGCATGGAGAAAAAAGGGCTTTGGTGGAGATTGGCCTAGACTAGAAGCAGATCCCAGAGAAAGCGAAGCTGAGGTGCTGAGGCAAGCCAGGGATTAGATTGGGGAGCTGAGAATCACCCACCTCTTTCCAGCACCTCAAGTGTTAAAAGAAAATTCTGCAATTAGAATAAAATTGAATGATTGGTTTCACCTATTTTGTACCAGGGTGCTGAGGACATGAGCAAGCAATCTGCGCTCAGGTGCGCCTGCTCCAAGCCCCGAAATTGTTCCATGGCATCCTATGCATGTGTAAATTGGAATGTGGAAGAGCAAGGATGCACCTGAATTATGGTGCCGGCAAAGAATACTGAAAGTACCACGGACGGCAGAAAGAACAGGCACATCTGGCTGGAAAGAAGTACAGCCAGAATGCTTAGAAGCAAGGACGCAAGACTTCGTTTCACGCCCTGTGGACTTGTTCACGGGAGAGAACCGTCCCTGGAGAAGGGACATCACGCTTGGTAAAGAGGAGGAGCCCCAAAACAGGAAGTGTTCCGTAGCCAGATAGGGAGGGGGCTGTTCCTCTCCACGCTGAGGGGTCCCCTACAGGGGGTTGGAAGTCAATGCAGGCTAAAGGGCATGCATCAATTCAGGCCCCTGAGCCAGCCCCAAACTAGGCCAGGTGGGCCTAATTAATTCAGCCAATCGGGTCAAGCAGTACCATGGGCCATGCCTCCCAATGGAAGGCTCTCTCTCTTCTCTCTCTCTCTCTCCCCCTGAGGGTGCCTGTGTTCAGTTTACTGTACCACCTGAAACTTCTTCTGTCCTTTATAAAACGCACTTGGATCACAAACCAGGCTTACATGTGAATACTTTCTCGTGCTAAGCCAACAATCGAGGTATTTCCCACCCGAGAATTCTAACAGAAGTCCCTTGACAAGAGAGATTGGCCCCTGAGAAATCTAATAGAAGTCTCTCGACAAGAGAGATTGGCACGGTGGATGCAACAATGGACTCAAATACAATTGGGAGGATGGCCCAGGATGGGACAGGTGTGCATAGGGTCACTATGCCTCAGAATTGACTCGATGGCACTAACAACATGCCTTTTGTAAATGACATATTCATTTAATAGTGTCAGTGTCCATTTAGCGACTAAAGGAGCACGGGTGGTGTAGTGGTTGCAAGTTGGAAGGCAATCCACAAGTTCAGTAGTTCAAAACCACTGGCTGCTCCACAGGAGAAAGACCTGGCTTTCTACTCCCATAACTTGGTCTCAGAAACTCACAGGGGCAGTTCTACCCTGCCCTATGGGGTTGCTGAGTCGGCATCAACTCGATGGCAGTTTTGTTTGGGTTTTTATCCACTATGATCTTAGTCAATACTCAGATAAATCCATAGCACAGAGCTGGCACCTCAAGCCTCTCAGCCAAATCCTGTTTACACAGAAAGCAGGGCTCAAAACAGACTTTAGCCAGTGTTAACACAGACCCAGGCCACCCACTACTGGCCTCATTGCTCTACAGTGTACAGTCTACCCCTGTGGCTCTCAACCTTCCTAATGCTGCGACCCCTTAATACAGTTCCTCATGTTGTGGTGAGCCCCCCAAACCATAAAATTATTTTCATCGCTACTTCCTAACTGTAATTTTGCTACTGTTAGGAATCGGGTGACCTCTGTGACAGGATCGTTTGACCCCCAAAAGGGTCACGACCCACAGGTTGAGAACCACTGGTCTACACAGAGGAAAGCAGCAGGTCGGGGAACCAAACATGGCACCTTCACAGTCACAACAGCAAGAGCTCTGGCAGCACCGTGGGTACACAGGGACTAAAGGATCAAGGTTCAAACTCATCCATCATGTTTGATTGAAAGGCTTTATTGTGATTTAGGTAAATGTTCATAGAGCTGATCATAGTTTTACATATAGACTTTACATGTAGAATTAGTCTAAATTGTTAATTCTATAATTTATATATGTTTTATTAAATACTTCTATTGGGGACTCTTCCATCTCCTTCAGAGCCTCGGCTACTTTTTGATGGAACCAGGAAAACTTCTACAGCATTCCCTTCTCAGCGTGAGAACGAACACATCCAATGGCATCTTCAAACGTATGAAGATGGCCCAGAATTATAAGGTATCAAGACACTTAGAAGCGTAAGAGCGTGACCTAGCCCTTCCGGAAGTTTCGTGGGTGCCGACAGCACGTGGCTAGCTAGTCTGCAGCAGGAGCTCAATAGCTTCTCATTCTTCCCCTTTGTACAAGATGCAGTTCTTTTATGCATGTTCTAGAAGACTTCTCAGGGCAGGCCCACTCTCCATGTACTCATGGAATTAGTAGGAGAGGCATGACTTTACCCAGCACAGGTCATGCCAACCTCAGTAATTCAAGGAGCGCGCATTTAATTAAGCTTACTTTGGTTCTGTGTGAACAAAACACCAGCAGCCCAGAACTCATTTATAAAAACCAGTGTTTTAAGTGTGGCTGATGTTCTAATACTGACGGTAATTTGCTGTTGGGCATCAACCTTAAGTACAACAGAGCAAAAGCCCGCCCAGTCCTGCACCATCCTCACTACATCCCGTTTGAACTCACCGTGGCAGCCAATGTGTCCATCCCTATCTGTGTCTTTCTTGCTGGGGCTGACCAGCTACTTTACCAAGCAGGACGTCATTCTCCAGGACTAGTCCCTACTGCTAAGGTGGCCACAGGTGAGTCTCGCCATCCTCATTTCTAAGGAGCACTGGGGTTTCTACTTCTTCCACCATTCATTCTTCCAGCAGTCTCTAGTATATTCAGTATTCTTCCCCAGTTTCAACTTAAGTCTATCAAATGCCACACTTTTGTAGTTTAGATGTTTATCACAAACATGCTTGGAAGTAGAGTTCCTATTCCTTCTGAACTTTAGAAGCAACATTTCAACTCCCAATCACATCACTATTATTCCTTTCCCCCAGACAAGCGTTAAAATGATCATTACAAGATTATGATCGAATATACACACACATAAATAACAGACCACTTTTGAGGACTGATAGATTCTTTTATTAGCAGTCAAAACACTTCACACCGGTAGGAAAATAAATGTTCCTTCCTGAACAAGTAACTGGAAATGACTCAGAACCTTAGTTTTGGGGGGGGGGGGCTGCCCTTGGTGTGAAGCACACCTTAGAAGCCAGAACATTAGTTTGCTGAGATCGTTAAGGTACAATGGGAAAAAGTTATCTATCAATATTCATTAATTCCTCATACTCACCAAGTTCCCTGAAATTAAAACAAAATAAAGCTTCTATTTATGTAGTTTCTGATGACTCACAATATACCTCTATCTACATTTTATGGCTCCTTTGTTTTTAAAAGGTGCTCAATAGAAATCCAAACCTTATCCTAAGATCGTGAGTGTGCAATGACGTTGGTACTTTTTCACCGAGAGTGTATGATGACTACACAGTTCAAGCCACACAGCTCTCACAGGAGGATGTGCAGGGTGCCCTCGCTTCCTTCCAGCACGCCTCACAGTAAGGCTCTCTGGCACGTACGTAGGACGTGGGTGTGCTGCGCTGGGCAAAAAAACTCCCCCGGCAGCATTCTTTGTTCTTCTGGAAGAAATTACCATTTCATACTTTCTTCTCTTTTCTTTTATGAATACCAGGGCTAGACAGAAAATTTCAAATCTCATTTTTCCACTGGACAATTAGCAAGTGATCATAGCTTGTTGGGATCGTCAGGGTATGATTGGTGAGGAGGGACAATGCCCTGCTGAAGCCACACCCCTTCCCTTTCTTTCCACTGTTCTCACCATCATGTCAAAGCAGAAATAGAGTGCACTTGAGAAATTTCAATATTGAATATTATTGTAAGCTTAAGCTTAGTCGGACCCAGAGAGCTTTATGGAACTCAGAAAACTCAGCATATTAGTTAGTTCCATGCAAGCCACAGTCTAGCAGATTACTACTTGTATTCAAAGGCCCACTTTCAAAAGGGCCTGAGTTGTCTAGATGGTCTATTTAATACAGACAAGCAGTAATCTCATGACTCTCATTCAAGCTCCATGAAAGTCATGTAGCTGTGGTATATCGAGGATGGCAATCATAGCCTCCCATTTGTTCAAAACACACACACACACACACACACACACACACACACACACACTCAGCACTGCTGACAATGCTGAACACCTAAATACTTTTCTAACTGAATTCTAATTAAAAACTACCTTAAATTTAAAATATATATTTTAAACTTCAATATTGAAACTTCCATGTTGCTCCATTTTTCCATGGGAGGAAGAAATAGCAAAATTACTTTGGGGCAAGGGGGACTGAAAACAGAAATATGAAACTGAGAAGACATCCCGTCATTACACAGTTTGAAGAACACCCCTAATAGCACTCTCTGTAGCCACTGGGAACAAATGACACAGCCAGGAACGGGACTCAGGAAAATAAATGCAGGTCCAATGGGGGGGGGAGTTAGACATCAATGAAAACAATTTATAATAAAAGAACCACAAACACAAGGGTTTTAAAACTGGGATCATCACTGTTTTGATGCGATGGGACATGCAACTATATGCAGGATGTTTCTCTACATGTGTTGAATTACAATAGGGGTTTTCCTGTAAAAGAGGAGGAAGGGTCACGGCCTTAAAACACCTCCAAATTGTTTGCCCAACACACCTGCACACTGGCCTGAGCGGTTCTAAAGGAGAGGTGAAAAACAGGCTAACTTCATACAGAAGTCATAATCACTTGGACGCCGGTGGACAGCATGGAGGAATGCAAGACGGGAACCAGACCCAAAAGGAATCCTTACTGCATGCCCACAGAGCAGGCTGCAGCTCCGTCTGCAAAGACCAGACAGCGCACAGTGGGAAAGCCGCGCCACTGACTGATGGCTACATTTCTCCTTTCCTAGAAAAAGAGCGCGACATCAAGTTCCTGTCGTGATCATATGGTTTTAAAAATACTCAGAAAAGCAACCACAAGGAACAGAAACACCACATCAAGTCTTCGAAAAGAATCCTTCCCAAGGGAAGCGCGCAGGGGCCTCCTCCTGAGGTCTGTCTAGCCTCTCCATGGAGGGCTGTGCTAGAAATGAGGGGCACTGATGTGGCCTTGGGGAGGGAGGGAGGGAGGGAGGGGAGAAGAGGGGGCGAGTGCCAGGCCAGAAACATCCCTGCTCACAACCACTCACAGATTTTAATCAACAAGGCCTGAATTTCTCCACTTTGAGCACTTTTATACAATATGTCTACGTTGAGGACAAAGTTCTCATATTTGAAAAACTCAAAAGCACAACCACTTTCCTAGACTACGGCAGTTCTCAATTTGCCATCAAGCTATCTTTTAAAAATTTCTTCTTCAAGTGAAAGCACGTGGCCATCGATCAGAAAGACCACAGGTGAGAGCCACCGAAGTTACAGCAGACAGAGGACTGCTGACAGAAAAGGCAACTTTTCACAGAAAACGGAGTCATTCCCCTCGGGTGGGCCTGACTGCTAGGGTGTAGCTTCAGCAGAACAGGACCAGAAGGACGTCCCCCCTGGCCCACTCCATCCAGGGATGCCTTTCATGCTGACAATTGTCACTGCCCAGGCCACCGTAGCTCTCCGAAGAGAGCGTGCAATCGCAAGATGACATCATACAAAGCATCCCATAGTTTCAGTTGCCCATAACAAAATTCCAAAAAAATAAAATGTTCATAGCATTAAATTCTACTTATCAAATACTTGAATATGCATCATTTACGAAATGCTACAATAAAGCAGCTTTGACATAGTGCCGTTCTCTATACTACTACAAAATTGTCACATAGAGCTTAATCGGCTCAGTATCATAGAGAGGTCTTATTTTTTGCAAGCCATGTATCTTTCAGTTACATTCTCCCAGTTGATTACATTCCAAATTGCTTTTAGATAATCAGGTCTGACGTTTTTATACTGCAGATAGTACGCATGCTCCCACACATCAATTCCCAGCAGTGGAATAAGACCTACGGGAAAGAAGGGGGAAAAGCAAACAGTGAATTTCAACCTAAAGGCTACATCTTCTTGATTTAAACTCGACTTGTCCTAGACTCCTAAATGCAGTGTCAGCAGTTTAAAAGCACCAGGTGCTCTGCAGAAGTAAGATTTACAGCCTTGGAAACCCACAGAAGCAGTTCCACTCTGTCCTATTGGGTCGCTTTGAGTCAAGAGCTACTCAAGGGCATTGAGTTTGAGGCTTTTTAATTCTGAGCACACAAAATGAGCTGTTACAACATTCCCATTCATTTCAGTTTCTTATATACTAGGAATGTTCCTATTGACAACTCTACTCTGCAAGGAATCCATTAAGTCCACATGGAAGAAGCACACCAGCCTGTGTGATCCAAGGATCGTAAATAACAAAATCCAATCTGGAGGAGGAAGTGGTACGAGTTTAAATTGTGAACACCTAGTTTGCAAAGGTTACGAGTGACAGTGAGAGCCCAAAATTCACTTGCAGTGTCTACACATGGATTAAGTCTCAGGTGAATCCACTCTAGCCATAATCAAGGGATGTGAATAGCCTTGCTGCAAAGTCGATTATGGCAGACACAGTTAGGTTAAAAGGTAGTATCTTATCATTTGATATCCCTTTGACTCATTTAAAACTCAGGAATACAAAGAAAAAAGATAAACTCTACCCTGAACTTACATACTCCACATGAAGAACTTAGGTCTGTGGATACAACACTCTCCTTAAACAAACTCTTTGAGGCCATGATTGCTGTCCGCTAGGAAAACAACGCTCAGCCTGTGTCGGACCAGCTGCGGGCACAGCGCTGCTTAAAGTGGCAGACTGATAGCATTCTTCTTCCCAGAAATAAAGTGCCATCACGGTCATTTTTATTCTAGTGGGCTTTCTTACGGGGAGCAGTAGGGGTGTAGTTGAAGTTTACCCTTACATCACAGCCTCCCCAGCCAGGTCTACGCTTTATACCAGAGTTGGGGATGTCAGGCCCACAGGCTATACAAGGCCCACCAAATCATCCACACAGGCTAACGTCACCTCACCAAAGAGAAGCCATTACAGCTAACACGAGGGGTGAGCTTATTAACTATGTGACCAACGCTCGCAGGCTCATTTTTGAAGTTGATAATTCTGTATGGCCCAACAGGGATGTTATCTCTCTCTCTCTCCAAATGGCCCTCGGTATAAGAGGTTCCCCAACCCTGCTTTACAGCAACAAGGGCTCACAAATTCTGGCAGCTTTTATAAATGCTTGTGGTGGATCGATCCCTGAATGCGTAGCATGTCAGCAGCAACTCTGTGGGAGAGGAGGCTTTGTGCTCTGGTACAAATCTATAGCCTCGGAAACCCACAGGGTCGATTCCACTCTGTCCACGGGGTCTCAGGAGTGAGAACTGACTCAATAGCAGTCTTGTACTTTGAGGGCAGTTCGTTTTCCCAAAGGAGCTGTTCAGATTCTGGCAAAATCTGAGCACACTCAGGGCAGGAAGGCAGGCGAGCAAGTCTCCTTGCGGACATGGGTGCTCTCACGGGTGAGGGGTCACTGTAGAGTCTTCACACCAAGGATCAAGTTCCAGCTCTTTGCTAGTTGGCTTATGATTCTCTTTCCCAAGCTCTTCAGTGACCTTTTAAAAGGGCTAATTCCATTTGGCTCAACATTTTAAAAAAAAGGATTTGGTGAGTCCAGCCAGGAGCTCCTGAGAAAACTATTTGAGTATACCAGAGACCCCTCACGGGGCAGGAATCTGGGAACTCCGCATTTCCCAGGTTTCTGGCCCCTGTGTTACTACAGAACCGAGTCTGGCAGGCAGTGTCAGCCTAGGGGATGGAAGCACAAGCTCTGGGGCCTCAATGTATTAGATTTCTGCTCCTGGCTCTTGCCATTTACCTAAGCTGTTTTGATTTCCATGTACTTAATCTGGTTAGCTGACACCAATCCTTGGGAGGATGAAGCAGGGTTTGTATGTAAAACACGTGTTAAAGTGTGTATAAAATTACACACGCCTTTTGAGAAAGATGAGGGCAACATATGTACAAATGTGCTTTACACAATTGATGTACGTATGGAGCGTGGTAAGAGTTGTATAAGCCCCCAACAAAATGATTTTTTTTTTAATTACACACGCCTCGTTTATAAAACACCAGACTGTCATCTGTGAAGACTTGCTCAAACTATGACACGACTGAGGCTGGGTCTCAACACTGCTCATTTTCCTTGTTTCTAGTAAAACTCTTTGTTGGAAATGCTCTCTCCCCTAAAGATGTCTAACAATTCCCATCTCTCACCTGTTGTTCCTTGCAGGGGGTCCTGGTTAGCACAAGCAGCAATTTGTAAGTGTCCCCGCTCCTTGTTGAAACCAAGCCAACCCCAGCCGGAACCCTGAACACCAACAGATACGGCTGTCAGCTTCTCCTTAAACTTGTCGAAGGAACCGAAGTCACGCTTGATAGCCTCCAGCAACTGCCCTGTTCAAGAAAAAACAAGATCCAAAAACCCTCTGTGAACAGACTGTGCGTTGTAAGAAAGCACTGTAATACATATTGAAGTATTGCAAGTAAGCGTAATATAGAGGACATCACCTCACCCAGTGAGCCAACCAGTGTTTGACTCTCCCCACATCAGTACCCTAAGGTTTCACAGCGCTTACTAATACGCTTTGTGCTGAAGCGTGGCAGGGACTTCTGCATCACTACGCCATTCTTCAGGAAAGCAACAATCATTTCCAGTTGACTCTCCCCTGCCAACAGAAAACTGTACTTTGACTTCTGCCGGATCTGCTGCCACTTTGGAAGTAAACTTATAGATTCCGTGTGATTTTTCTCCAAAGTAGCCTATATCTTTCTATCTTAGGGACGATACTGTTTTAGAAAAAGTAACTATTACGGAACCAGAGGTAGATCTCAAGAAATATATTCACTGCCATCAAGTCAATTCCAACTCATAGCGATCCTGTAGGGCAGGGTGGAACTGCCCCTGGGGGTTGAGACGGTCACTGCTCACTTCTAAGGAGCGTGGTGCGTCTACTTCTTCCCCCAGACTGTTCGCATACTCCCTCCCTGCGCGATTGGTTCACCAAGACCTCGGTCTGAAATGCCTATTTCAGATGCCTCCAGCAGACTGGCTCTGCAGCACTGGTTAAAAGGAAAACACAGAAACCAAGAGTACTTAAAAGCAACAGGGAGGGGGGCCAGGTGTGTGCTTTCCCAGGGGCGGGGGAGTGCTCACTGAGCTGGACCTGCACATACTGTGGGGAAAGCTGGCATGGTAGGAAACAAGTCCAACCCCCTCTGGGCTCCTCCTACCTGCAGTTTTGTTTTTGTGTTAACTTTTCACTGTGAACTGGGTGAAGGTTTCTGGAGCAGATCAGTTTTCCAATCAACAATGAACACTCGCTGTTTGTGACCCCACCGTACAGCATCACTTATCCCAGTGTCACCCTTCTGAGCGATGTCCTTGATTCACGCGGCCCTCCTGATCTCAAGTTCATGATTCCAAGGCAGGCATCCTGCCCTACTGTAAGCGTTCTCCTTACAGACTATTACGGTGGTTCTCAACCTTCCTAATGCCGATAATACAGTTAATACAGTTCCTCATCTTGCGATGAACCCCAACTGTAAAATTATTTATATTGCTACTTCATAACTGTAATTTTGCTACTGTCGTGAATCGTAATGTAAATATCTGATATGCAGGAAGTATTAGGTGACCCCTGTGCAAAAGTCGTTCGACCTCCAAAGGGGTTGAGACCCACAGGTTGAGAACCGCTGGCCTATTTATCTAGCTGATAATTTGTGTTTGGGGGGGGGGGAACCAGTGGGTCATCCCCAGGCCTGTTCTAACAGGATCCTTTTCAGAGCAGTTGGTAGTGGTAGCCAAGAGCTAGGATGGTTCTAGCTCCTCGGGTCTCGGGCTGGAGAACACCATTCACAAGGTCCATCAGTCCAAGCATCTTTGATCTTCTCCACTCGTTTCCTCAGGAGAGGCAGAGACGACTGCTCACGACCTTGTAAGTCCCCAGTCACTACTCACCTGCTGTTCTTTTAAAAGCACACCTAGAAAACCCGATTTCCTAAGACAACTGACTTTATAATCCTAACAAACAGTAAAAATTAGCAAGAGGAGCTATCTTCAGAACTTTGTATAATTCTCAAAACAGTTCTGTATCGTAAAGATGAAGAACATTAAAGTATAAAATGGTTAAGTATCTTATTCCAGGTCCTGGTTTTTAACGTACATCTTGGTTAAAATATATATATATATATATACTTTTTTTTTTCAGTATTGGTCTTTCCCACTATAAATGAGATACATCTAAACCATATTCAAATACTGTATTTGACACCATATATGTGTGTGCATAAGTGTTTAAAATCTGGTGATATAGCTACTTGGATACTTTACCAATTTCTACTTCTGCCCCTTCCAAAGTTACAACTTTATTATGCTCCTCATGATGAAAAATGACTATTAGTAATACAGCAGAGAGAAGTAAGCTAACAAGAAAAACTAAGTCGTTCCTAATGTGCACAAAGTGCAGGTAAGAGTGCACCAAATACACCAACCTTTGGGTTCTCCACCACCGTTGGGGATCAGGTTGGTCCAGAAAATGGTATGGTTGATATGACCTCCACCATTGAACTTCAGTGCAGGCTGGAGAGCTACCTGAGTTGTAACATCACCTGAAATGTTCAAATGCAAGCACATTTTTAAATTTTTACTTTAAAACCATTTCACACAGTCATTTGGGGGGGGGGGTTGTTTGTTTGTTTGTTTTTCTTTGTAAAATGTCAGGTAAAAAAAAAATGTCAGGTAACTTGATCCTGGAAATAACACAATTTTAGGACTCTATTTAAAAAAAAAAAAAAAAAAAAAAGCCCTCCTACAAGTATTTGTCCCAGGAGGTTTCTGGTTCAATGGTGACAACGCTGACCAGGCAATGAGAGGCCCGTGTAAAGGTGGGAGAAAACTCACCCTGGACCCCAAGGAGCGCAGGCTTTTCTCAGACAGATGTTTCAGAACATGGAGTAATTAAGAGGATAAAGAGATAACATAATGGAATATTCAATGTCCAGTTCAATAGAAGATGCTACAGAATTTCCTGAACTCTCTTTCAAGAGTCCTTCACTGAGAAATATCCTGTTACATTAACAAGACACTCAACATATTCAAACTCAAAATTGAACTTCTCTCCTCCTCCTCAGGCAGCCTTGCCCACTCCCTGTAAATGCCACCCCTTTCCTCTCACTCCCCATCAGTAACACCAGCTCTACTTTTAAAAATATGTCCAGGATCCAATCACACCTGCCTGCCTGAGCTGCCACCCCCCTGGTCCAGACCAGCACCTGCATTAGTGCGGTCTTCTGCTCCCCAGTGTGCCCCCACAGTTCTTCTCAGTCCAACAGCCAGAAGGAACCTGAGACACCAGACCAGTCATGGCGCTCCTCAACCTGAATCCTTCAGCATCTCACCTACTCAGTGGAGCGGGGCGGAGGCATTTAGGAACTAGAGAAAGTTGTATGTTTCATCATTCCTACATCGCACTCTGACTGGCTCGTCTCCTCCCCGAGACCCTTCTGAAAGATGTCCAGTGGCCTACTAATGGGCTTTGGGTCTCTACTCCGCACTCCCCCCTCATTCACTATAAGAGTTTTTGTTCTGATGCCTTATAGCGGATCCCTTCGACACCTCATGATCCCACAGGCTGGTGTGCTTCTTCCATGTGGGCTTTGTTGCTTCTGTGCTAGATGGCCGCTTGATTACCTTCAAGCCTTTAAGACCCCAGATGCTATATCTTTTGATAGCCAGGCACCATAAGCTTTCTTCGCCACATTTGCTTATTCACCCGCTTTGTCTTCAGCGGTTGTGTCAGGAAGGGGAGCATCATGGAATGCCAATTTAATAGAAGAAAGTATTCTTGCATTGAGGGAGTACTTGAGTGGAAGCCCAATGTCCTTCTGCTACCTTAACACTAAACCTACAAATATATGCACATAGATCTATTTCCCCATCCTCATATATAAATATATTTGCATGTGTACACACCTCTATTTCCCTTGACTTTCGTCCTGTGTCCCACCATCATGCTCAGTCCCCACCTGGGTTTCAGCAATCCCTCTTGGTTACACTACCCTTGATGATGCCCTACCAAGCCTCCCACACCCTCCTCACCACCAATTTGGATCAGTTGTTCCCTTGTCCCTGGGTTTGTTAACACCACTTCCTTTCCCCCCACCTCCCCCTCTCTCATGTCCTCCAGGAACTGTCGGTCCCGTTGTTTTCTCCTCCAGATTGTTCATTTAGCCTATCTTATTTAGAGAGACCTGCGGAGATAATAACATGCACAAAAAACAAGACAGGGCAAAAGCAAGCAACAATATACAACACACCAACAACAACAAACCAATGACAAAACAAAACACAAGAAAGAAAAGCTTGTAGTTAGTTCAAGGTTTGTTGGCCTTTAGGAGTGTTTTCCAGTCCAGTCTGTTGGGGCACCATGCCCTGGCCCCAAAGTCCACCTGGGGACCTCGCCGCTCCATTCCCTTGCTGTTCTGTTGCACCCCATGTTTTTCCTCCGTGTGGAGGGATCAGATCGAGCGCAATTCCCACACTGTGTCTCTGGTGTTGTCCCCTGTAGGGCTATGGGTCAGTGAGGGGCATCATGTCTCATAGTGGGGCTGGCTATGTGGTCCTCTCTATGGACTGGCTGCTCTAATTGGGAACATCGTCCTCACAGCCTGGTGGGCCAGGTTGTGCTCCACTCTCTCCTCCTCCCCCTTCATCTGTACCCATGTGCTCCGATCAGAGCTCCCATCAGAGCTCTCCTGGAGCTGCTGATTCAATGCCGTCCTTTGAAATAAATTCTTCTGGGGGTGAGGGGCAGGTGTCCATGTAGTAGTTGGGATTGGGGCCAGCCCCCTCCATGGACTTTTTCAGCCTTCTCCCCTCCCCCCGACAAAAACCCCCCACATGCTGGGAAAACGAAATGAAAACCAAAGAGACTTCTAGTGGTCTGAACAGACAGACGATGTGCAGGCCACGGGAACCATGGCCTCAAGAAAGACACCACATGGCGGTCACGCAGTGGCTGGAGAAGGCATCCCCACGGCGCACTTAAAACAGACAGAAAAGTGCTGTCCAGCAGTTCAGTAAGGAAGAGAACAAGATGTAATAATAAAACAATCTCTTAGGAGTTTCTTGTTTTGATCTGATTTGGTTTGGTTTTCTACAGATACCAACTTTCTTTTCCTGCCCCGCTTTGTTCACAAACTCATTGGCTCAACTCAGAGTTTCCCCATTCATTTTTCTAGGAGAGGCATCCTTAAAGTAAATGTAGATTTTCGCAATTTTAATAATACTGGTAGTCACAAAATGTTCCTACTAGGAAAGAAATATGCTTACTGACAATTGAGTAACTGCTACATCTTAAATGAAAAGTTTACAAAATCACTTAAAAGTTTTAGTAGAAATTCCAAGGTCTTATTTAGAATTAAGATTACTTTTTTCTCTAATGGCCAAATCTAAAAATTTTATTTCACAGTCATTTTCAGTATACTTTTAAAGAAAACCCTGTAGCTACTTACTAACTTACAGGCCAGATAATTCAGTAATAGCGAAGCCTGCCTGCAGCAGCTTTCACTAAACAAGAAAAGCTTTGATCTCAAAGCAAAATCATGTTTTGAAAACAAGAGGCTCCTGGCCTATGTTGCCATCCAGGAAATACTTACACAACTGGGATACTCCCCCAGCTCATCCCCACCCCCACCATGACCACTTCCTTTCTGCGTCTGCGATTTTGGAAATCAGAGAACTTTTCCCGTACTCAAGGTTCCCGATTGTCTCAAGAAAATCTCCCAAAATGTGGTAACTTCCTCTACAGGTTGAAATACTACATTTTCCCACTAGGTGACACTACTCAGATGACACTGTCTAAAAACCACTCAATTTCATAAGCCTAGAGTTCAATAAAAACCTTTTGGAAGATTACTTAACTGTGTATCTTAATAAGGCAGACACACGCTTTGGAAACAAGGCTGTGATCATTATTTCCTTGTGTAAGCCACTGAAAATCAGTGAAGAATGGTTTTATATTCAAACATAGTATTTCCATACACACCACCAACTGCACAATCTCTAAAACATCCGCACATTACTGGCTTCATCAATTGAGCACTGTAAACAATAGTAACAACTCCATACTCTATTCTAATTGGACTGCATATATTAATGAACAGACACCCCACAGAGGGCATTTTTCTTGGGAACAGTGACTCCTGGGGGCAATTCCCAGCGGAGCATCAAGTCTCACAGCTAGCCAGCAGCTCACTGGTGGTGAGCATCATCAAGCACACTCCGGCCTTGTCCTCTCCCACAGAAGGCAGGCAAGGCTCCCCGGAGTTCCACAGGATGGGGCAGCACAGGCTCCTTGGAGCGCCTGTGCTTGGGCTCTGGACCCTCCAAATCCCAAGCCAGATCCCCACCCCTCAGTCCCCAAAAGGAGAACCAGTGATTACAGCTCCTCTCACACGGCAGGCAGGTGGTCAATGCTGTCAGCTCTCCATAGAGACAGCCCTGTTGCCAAGGTCCCCCCAGCCAGTGTCCAGGCAATGTGGTTTGGGAAGATGAACTGCATTCACACAGCAGTCCCATTCCCATTTCCAGCAGATGGACTCAAGGAACTGGACTTGAGAGGCCAGGAGTGTTAGGCTGACACCCAAGGGCACTCTCCGTCCCACCCTCCCGCCACCCCAGCCCTATCCTGTATCTGGGCCACAAGTGGAAAGGACAATGGAAACCCCAGCGACCAGACATTTCCCAGAAGCACACTACATCACATGGGCAGGCTGTAATTGCTAACCTGCAAGCATGCAAATGCACAGCCCCCTACTATAGAGTGATTCCACTCCCAGTGGTTCTTGCCTGTAATCTTGAGAGACAGATCCCCAGGCCTTTCCTTTGTGGTGCTGCTGAGGGGCTCAAACAGCCAGCCCACGTAGGCTAGTCATCAAGCACAAACCACTACACACGCAGACAAGACGCAGAAAGGAGTCCCAGAGAGCTGCTATCCCAAGGGCATAGAACTGGCCAACACTGGACCTTGGTTTCAATCTCTTGCTTCGAGGGTGCCCATGAATGGTGGCCCGTCACTACACTCTTGTAATGCCCGCCCGCCCCCCTCATGAGGACAAGCATTAATCTTGTAGGTGTGGCTCTGCCATTGTGCATATGTATCACTGAACGTTTTTGCCCTGTCATCAACCCCCATTGTTTGTGTGAATATCAGTACAAGTCAACAATCTATGTACTGCAATCCAGTTTTTTAAAAAGGGAAAATGGAGCTCCATATTAAGTTTTCTTTAAAGCTCTGAAGTCACCCATGCTAGGCTGGTGGCACTGTGGTTGAGGCATTGGGCTGTTAACTGTCAGGTTGCAGTTCAAACCCACCCCCAGAGAAAGAGGAGACGGTCTAGTCTCATACAGACTTAGTCTTGGAAACCCTACAGCAGTGGTTCTCCACCATTCTAATGCTGCGACCCTTTCATACAGTTACTCACGTTGTGGTGACCCCCCAACCATAAAATCATTTTCACTGCTACTTCACCACTGTCATTTTGCTACTGTTATGAATCGGGCAACCCCGCGTCATTCCACTCCCAAAGGGATCACGACCCACAGGTTGAGAACCACTGCCCTCTAGGGGCATTATGAGTCGGAATCGACTGGACAGTAGTGGGTTATTGAAGGAAACCACATGTGTAACAAAAATAGGGCTTTTAAACTTAATTGAGCTGCCCGTCAAGTCAGTTCCAACTGACAGCGACCCTGTACACAAGAGAAGGAAGCCCGGGCCTGTGTCACTCTCACAATGGTTCTTAGGTTTGAGCCCACCAAACCAGCCACTGCGTCCATGCATGTCTTTGAAGGTCATCCTTGAGTAACAATAATAGTAAAATTCATAAACTTTAATATGCACATGGGAGTTTTCTGAGGCAATACAAGACGTTCTTACAAACTCATCAAAACACTACATCTGTAATGAGTTATTTTCAAGGAGGAAATAGTTTGGAAAGCTCAGATAAAAATGGGATGAAAGAGAATAGAACTTTTCCACTTAGTTTTCCAAGCCTCCTGTATTGTTCTTTTTTCCTTTCTTTTTTTAAGGAGAGCGGTTCCTGTGTGAAGCCCAAAGCAGTAACCATGTGGCCTGGACGCACCTGGGCACACCCGTCCTGGTCGCATTTCCATGAGGTTCAGGCAGACCCCCGGGCGTCCTTGTCCCTAAGAGTTTCACCTAAACCAACCCGTGTTCCTTCGTCTGCGAGCAAGGCTCGCACCTACCCTTTGCCAGAGCCTCGTTATACTTCTCCTCGGTGACGTTCAGGTTGTTCACGTACGCGGCGTGGTGTTTGCTGTGGTGCAGCTGCATGATCTGGGCGTTAATGTGGGGCTCCAGGGCGCCGTAATCGTAGGGCAGGTCGGGCAGGCTGTGCTTCTGCCGGGAGCCCAGCGCTCCCACGGCTGGGGCCAGCCTCCAGCTCCAGCTGGAAGAAGACACAACGCAGATGCACCTCGCGCTCCGCGCGCCCTTGACGCGGGCACTTTCTCTCCCGGCCCCGACGTTTGGGGAAGCAATGCACCTGTGTGCCATGAACTAACAGTCCTGGCCGAGCCCGAGTGACCCGCCTGGCCCTGGGCGCTAATACCCATGCCAAGCCGCGACGAGCGGCTGGAAGGTGCACTTTCACCTCCCCCCACCCCCACCCCCCGCGGGCGGCCCTCCTCCCCAGACCCCAACGTCCGTGAAGCCGGGTGCTCGCCCCTCCCAGGCGGCCTGCGGGGACGCGGGGACCCTGGCAGGTCCAGTGGGAGGGGGGGGGGGGGGCGGACGAGGGGTGCCAGCCGGGCCCGCAGCTCCGGGGCCATCGCTGTTCCCCCCTCCCCCCCGCTCGCCGTCCTGCCCTTAGTGCCCTTGGCGCCCCGACCCGCGTGCCCGCCGCAGCCCCGCGGCCCTCCGCACCGACCCCGCCGCCTCACCCGCTCGCCACCCGGCACAACATGGTGCTGCGATGCCGCCCGGGGCGCGCCCTCACGATGCGTAGGCGTCCCGGTGAAGCGTCAGGACTCAACGCTACGTCCCGGCCTCGGGGCAAGGGCACCGCCACCGCCCCTTCCGGCAGTCGCGCCCCTTCTCCCGGAAGTCCCGCCCCTTCTCCCGGAGAGCCCGCCCTTCTGTAAAGCCCCGCCCCTCCTCCCTGAAGGCCCTCGCCCCACGTGCCCTTCTCCGGAAGGCACTGCTGACACTGACTTCCCGCAGCCGCCCTGTCAACACGAGAGGGCTCGTGACGTCCCAGTGCCCGCTGGGAACTGCGTGTTTGCTGCACTTCGATAATGTATCTATCTCCAAAAGGAAGCCCCCCGCCCCCCGCCGTCATATTTGCAAATTGGTGCAGCTCTGCGCCCGCTCACCTTGACCCTCTGCTACCCTAAATCATGAATTTGTAGACATCCCGTTCCCCTCTCGCCCCGCCCCGTGGTATTTGGGCAGCCTCTCAGAAAGGAAAGGACCCCCTCCCAGCTGTCCTACAGGACAGGCCCTGAAGAAGAAGAAGAAGTATCCGTCCTAGCTGCCGGATACTAACTAAACTAGTGAACGCTAGTTCCCCTTCAGCCAGTTACAGGCTTTTTCCACACCACTCCCCAGTGACGTTGCTTTGCCAAAGTAACTGACCTTACTGACCTTGGGACTTCCTCCACTCAACAGCCAAGTCCAACTTTATCTCCAGTAACTAACCGTCTGGCTAATTGCTGTTGGATAAGCATTAGATGTCTAACTACAAGGTCAATGGTTCAAACCCACCAGCCACCCCAGGGTATGAGAATGAGGCTGTGCTGGAAAAGATTTGCAATCTCATAAATTCTATATAGGGTGGATATGAGTTGGAATCAACTTGATGGCAGTGGGGATTATTATTACACCAGGCTCACTGCCTTCAAGCCAATTTTGATTCATGGTCACTCTCTGGGACAGGGTAGAATTTGCCCCTGTGGCTCTCTTTATGGGAGCAGAAAGCCTTATCTTTCTCTGTAGGAAACTGAGAACCCGGATGAAAGTGTTACTGGCCTATTCTCTACACTTGTAACCACAGGGCTTGGAAGACCGGCTCCAGTAAGAGAAGACCTTCACAGTCCCAAGATAGAGATAAAACCTAATATACATTCTCCAGATAGAAAGAGTTCTCTCTACAACTGCCCTCCTTTAAGATGCTCATGTACCGCTGCCTTTTGCAGACACCAGGCTTTTTGAGTCAGCTTATCCTTTGTCTCTTAGTTGCCTGGTATTTACAGTATTCAACCTTTACCTGCCAATTAAGAGGAAGCAGGTTCTTCAGATATGCCCTCTATAATAAGATAAGCTACCTCCTACATACGGCCTGGGCTTTTTACACACACTAAGAGGATGCATATCTCTAAAAGCATCGCTGTTGTTTGCAGTTCTTAGAGTGATTGTCACCATTAAGCACTATTGTTTACAAGACAGATACTTCCTTTGAGATGTTCTCCCCAGATAAATCAGGATATCTCAGATTCACACTTTGCCCAATCTATTGTATATGTGCCTGGTGGAGGTTTGCATGCCTCCTTACTATAAATGTTAGGTAGCAAGACACAGGAATGGGGGTTGTCCCTCTCCATGCCTGAAGGCTTTCTACAGGAAGTTGGAGGAGAACCAGGCGAGCCTTAGCCAGCCATAAAAACTACTGGGCATGCGCCAAATTCAGCCCCAACTCCACCCACTAGCCAGGTGGGCAGTACACCTGGGCGGCCTGAACTAGGCCCACCTTCTTTGCCCTTCCACTCCTGTCCTGTACCCGGCACGGGCGTGCCGTGATCTCCCTGGCCTCAGGCTACCACGTGTGGGGGTACAGTAAGAATTGAGGTATTTCCCACTCGAGAAATCTAATTACTAGTTACTAATTAATAAATAATTACTAGCTCTCTCTTGATTCCAACATTGGGATGATGAACCCCTGTACCTTATCTTTTCCGTCTTATTTATTTTTCCTTACCCACACAAGCCGCTCCTAAGGACCTGTTCCACTGTAGGGCTGAATCCCACATTTCTCCTGTGAAGCTGCTACCCTGCTTCCCCGAAAATAAGACAGTGTCTTATATTAATTTTTTTTTAACATTTTATTAGGGGCTCATACAACTGTTATCCCAATCCATACACACATCAATTGTGTAAAGCGCATTTGTACATCGTTTCCCAAAACATTTTCTCTCCATTTAAACCCCCGACATTAGGTCTTATATTAATTTTTGCTCCCAAAGATGCGCTAGGTCTTATTTTCAGGGGATGTCTTATTTTTCCATGAAGAAGAATACGGTACACATTTATTCTTTATTGTTGTATTGTTTTATTAAAAGAGACCTTGCACTTCCTGTCTGTTCCAGCTGCACTGCAGCCAACAGTGAGCTGCGTGGCAGCGCTCACCGCTATGGTCCAGAGTCCAGAGTAACACTAGCTTTGGAGGGCCTTATTTTCGGGGAGGTCTTATTTTGGGGAGGTGCCTTATATTTCAGCGAGAGGCAAAAACTGTAAGTAGGTCTTATTTTCGGGGGATGTCTTACTTTCTGGGAAACAGGGTACCACCTTGGGGTTTGGAGTTACTGACCTTGGAGTTAGCAGCCCAACACATAACTCCGCCACCAGGGGTCCCTTATTATAACATAGGTCATTGTCTTTCCCAAGTCGTAAGCCCTGGTGGTGGAGTGGTTACACAATGAGCTCCTAACCCTAACCACTAGGCCCCTCCACAGGAGAAAGACTTTGCTTTCTACTCCCACAAGGAGTTACAGTCTAAGAAACACAAGGGCAATTTGACCCTGTCCTATTGGGTCGCTATCAAACAGCAGCAACTCCGTCGCAGTGAGTTTGGTTCGTTAGATTCTTAATTCTTAGTTTGGAGGGTTGTTTTTTTTCATTGTGTGAGGCACAATCAACTTGATGGCAGTGGGCTTGGTCCTCTGGGTTAGTAGTGTCCGTTGAACGCCCACAGCATGCCTGCAACAGTGCTGAAGGATGTACCGGCATCCCCTTCATTGATCCCGAGGGTTGGTTTATTAACTCTGGTTACTGAAATCGCCTCACTGAGCTGGGGCAACTTGCCCTGGTTACGCTGCTTATCAGTCACAATTAGAATCCAAAGGTCGTACTTTCTAGACTACTGAACTTTAACAATCAAGTTTTGTGTGTTTGTTTGATATCATTGAGCCAACTATGAGTTGGTATTGACCCAATGACAGTGAGCTCATCTGAGTCTCGGAGCCAACTGCTGGGGAGAAAGTTAGAGACAGGGTCCGAGTCTAACAAGCGTCAGGTGTCAAATACTTTCTCAGCAGTCACAAAGACCGGAATTGTGTCAATCTTCCCAGGACGCAGAAAGCTGGGAAGGTTTTTGATGTGAGTTGGGCCTTCATTACATATTGTAATATAAAAGGAAGCATATCATAGGCACCCAACAAGGTTTGCATTGCTCTCTCCCGTCCCCTCAAGAACCGTAGCAAGGATGACTCAGCTTTGAGAACGTAGAATGCGAAGAGGAACCCTTGCTTCAGGGCAGGAAGGGCTGTGGCCCGTTTACAGGCAGGAGAGTGTAACTACCTGTCTGTGATGGGAGAAGGCGCTCATTCCGGTGGGAACGAGGTTAGGAGTCAGTTAGGGTACGCTTCATGTGTATATACAGTTCAGCCACTGGCCTTAGCCTGGCGTTCAGCTTTCATCAGACCTACATGGTGCACAGTGACACCAGGAAGGTGCTTAGTCATTAGGCCAATCAACCAGGACAGGAAAAAAGGTAACGGAAACTAGCCACTGGGAGGTTAGGTTATATTGCGGGACTTACAGCCTATGTCACAAAACCAAATGTGGACGAATTGTCCAGCAGAGAACCAAAGCTCTGTGGACCTTCATCCAAATCACAAATTTTAAAAATGAAAAACTCAGACAAGGCAAGGCTTTGAGCCACTTGGTAACAGGAGGTTAAGGATATTTGGGGCAAGGGGAGGCGCACTGAAAGTAGTTTCCTGGCCAGATAGTCTGTTGTTGACACCATGAATGCTGGCTCCTCTGGAAGCTGTTATACGTACTACCCAGCCTGAGGTAGGAAGGGCCAGTGTTAGTGTGTCAGTGAAATGCTGTTGGTTTTGTTTTTATTCAACAGTTTTATTGGCACATAATCCACATATCATACAAATCATACCAAGAAGAGTTGTACAACCATCACCACAACCAATTTTAGAACATTTTCTTCATTCTTTCACTCATCGTGGTTAGCTCCCCATTCCCCCAACCTCCCCTGCCATACCCTCAAGGAACCATCCATGCATGTCTCTATAGATTTACCGATCCTGACTTTCATATACAGGAAAACACTTTAAAAAATAAAATAACAAAGTAAAACAGAAAAGCATCAGTCAAAAAGAAAGCCGAAAATATTAAAAACTAAAACAAATGGCCATTTAGCTGAGAAGCAACAAAGCCCACATGGAAGAAGCACACCAGCCTGGGTGATCACGAGGTGTCAAAGGGATCAGGTATCAGACATCTAAGACCCAGAACAAAATCATACCCAATGTGAATGGGGTGGACATGGGGGGCGGAGGTGCAGTTGAGACCCAAAGCCCATCTGTAGACAATTGGACATCCTCTCACAGAAGGGTCACAAGGAAGAGATGAGCCAGTCATGGTGCAGTATAGCACCAATGAAACATACAACTTTCCTCTAGTTCTTTAATGCTTCCTTCCCCCCACTATCATGACCTCAATTCTGTCTTACAAATCAGGTTAGATCAGAGCATGCACACTGCTACAGATAAGAGCCACAACACAGGGAATCCAGGAGAGATAAACCCCTCAGGGCCAACAATGAGAATAGAGATACCAGAAGGATGAGGAGAAGGTGGGGGGGAGAAAGGGGGAATCAATCACAAGGATCAACCCCCTCCAGGGGAACAACAATAGAAAAGTGGGTGAAGGGCAACAGAGGATGGTGTAAGATATGAAAATAATAATCTATAATTTATCAAGGGTTCGTGAGGGAAGGGGAAAATGAGGAGCTGATATCATGGGCCTAAGTAG